GGTTATTTCGTAGCCACGTGTCAAGGACAAGATCTTGGCTCAACTAATGTGTTCGAACGTTTCATTGATTGCCCTCGAGGCACCTCGTCACAACTCACTATGACTGGAAGAATCATAAATCACCTATAAACAGGTATTGCTGGTTTTGGACGCCGTCTACAGTTCATCATGGCATGAACTGCCATTTTATGCTTACCGCATGGTATTATCAATGTGTTAAGCTTGTTACAGACTTGCGATGTCATTTTACATCCATCGTAGGTCTCAAATGGCATTCTTTGCTCATTACAGGTCCCAAGGGGTATTTTATGCTTATCATAGGCATTGGGTAACCTTCCATGCTCATCGCAAGTGTGTGTTTCTTATATTACTTTGATAAAACATCATCGTATTATTCCAGAGGTGCCTTGGTTGATTTAGTACCAAATTTGCCTCTCATTGCCTAGTTTAGTTTTAACCATCTTGTCCTTTCTAGTCTGGGATTTCTTTATGTGGTCTTTGTTTGAGGCCCTCAATTATAATTCAATAGTTGTGAGCTACATGTACTCACAACCACTTTGCCAGGTTTCCCTCACACATTAGTTGATAGTTGTAACTTTTTTGGGTAGGTGACTTAAACATACCTGAGAGAGAGAGAGAGAGAGAGAGAGTCACATACATCCACCACCCACATGAATTTGAAATTTTTGAGGTATATTTTAAGAGTTAGAAGATATATTTAAGTCAGGGTATGTTTAAGCCAATTTATGTAAGCCCAAGGTTTATTGAAGTCACTCACATGTTGTAATTGAATGGGTTTGTAATGTTTTGTACTAAGTGAGTATATATTGCTTTGTAATGATTAAGTATGGATTTGTATTGGTCAATATGGTTTCTAATGATTAAGTATGGATTTGTATACATGGTTTGTAATGAGTGTGAATTTTTAATGGTTTAGGCCAAGTAAATATTAGGTTGTAAATTGTAATGGTCACTTTTGGTTTTGTAATAGTTTGTATCAATTGAGTATTGGTTTGTAATTGTATGATTGACTAGAAGTTTGTAATAGTTGAATATGGATTTCTAATACTTGAGTATAGATTTGTAACTAAGGGTGCAAGTTCTATCCAAGACCTATAGCTTAAATTGTCCAACCCAAGATCATCCTGCATTAAAATTTGATGCATGGGCCTAGTCAGGCTTGGGTTGAAGTCAGGCTGGATAATTTTGGACTGAGCTCGGGCTAAGCCCCCCAACCTGAAAAATAAAAAATAAAAAAAATCCAAACTTTTGAACTCAAGCCTAGCTCAAGGACCTAAATTTTGAGCTAAATTACGGGCTGATCAATCCTTTGGGCCCAGCCCAGTTGCACTTCTATTTGTAACTATAAATATTAATATACATTGATACACGATTTTTTTGAAAGCTCATGTCTTTTTATAGCTCCGTATTCTTATTGTACCACAGTATTGGTAAACTAATATTTGACTAATGCACATTGATGTGCAAAGCCTAGAAATTGGGGATCATAGATCCCATCATTTATTAAGTAATTCATGTGATATTCTATTACATTGTCGGGGGGGGGGGGGGCAAGGAGGGTGGTGACCAAATTTCCCCACATTTTTTATTTTTGGGCCACTTTTGGAAAATTTTATATTTCTCCTCTGTAGTTAAATAATATATCCTAATTTTGGTCAAACTATCGTGGAATTAAAATACCCCTTCCTACATACAAAATTTCGTTCTCTTTTAAGAAATTATCTCATTTACCTATTTAACATTTCCCAGTAAAATAGAAACATAAGTAAATGCATCTATGATCTACCTAGGAAATGCATTTATCCAAGTAAACAATTTCCCAACAAACGAATGAGGCCTTGGTGGAAAAGTGAAGTCTTAATATGCCAACATGAATTGAGATTTTTTCACTAAAAGAAGTTGGGCTTCCGAGATTTAGGAATGTTTTTAAGGGCAAAATATATGGTGTATCCTATGGATTTTTTTTTTGGTAAAAGTGTATGCTATGGAATTGATGCAACATAATCAAGGATCAAAATTTCAATATGATATGCCCCATATCACGTGTATCATATCGTATCTGTTGGTCCCAGCCCCTCTTTTTTTTAATAAAATATATATAAAAACTATCTAAAAACAACTTTTGTAAAAAAACTAAAAAAAATAAAAGTGAATTGTTTTTTAGCATTGATACAACTCTGCTAATACATAGAGGTGTATTGATATTTTGAACCTTGACATAACTTAAATGTGAGCAAACTAGTGATAAAGTAATACAATGGCATCTTTGTGAAAAGTGAACCAATGAAAGATAAGTGAGTCATGTGATCTTTAATGCCACTAGTAAAAATTTTGATTGTAACCTGCTATAAAGATTTTAGAGTACACCATAGTTGGATTGTTTTTTTTTTTTCAAAATACAATAAAGAATTCATACAAATACCTTTTATAATAGATGAAAAATGGTATTCTAAACAAAGGTTACAAGCCAAAAGAAAGAGTTCAACTATGATATTGGAAAAGATATGGTATTGGAAAAATAACAAACCAATAAACTGGAACCATAAACGTTCCGATTTATCAAAATTCATGGGTGAGTTTTGATTGGTCAAAACTCTTTCCATCCCATATCTTTTCCGCATCATAGATTTCCCCCAAAAGAAATGATCCATACCTCAAGATTCCCTCAAGATTTTCTCGTTAATTAGTTTGTCTTTGATGCCAATGCTCAATGGTCTCTATAAGAATAGTTGGTAGTTAGGCTCCATTTGGGAAGGGTGTAAATGCTAGTTCTTTTTTTTATATAATCATAAATGATAGTTCAATGTTAATTCATGCCAAGGTTCAAATTAAGATACACATGAAAATGCTATAAATACACCAATAAATCATAAATAAATATCAATATCACTAAGTATAAGACATAAATGAGCTATTTATGCATAAAAATAATACGTTTTAGTGGATTTTATGAAAAAAAAAGAAACTTATTATAATCAATATATGGGAACAGAAACATACTATCTAATAAAGTACTTAATTTAGTTCCATTCTAAATTTCTAAAATTGAATGGATTTATGAACATAATAGATCAAATAATTATTTTTCATGTTTCATTCTAAAAACTAAATAATTATTTATTTTTATTCAAATAATTGTTTTGCATGTTTTATTCTAAAAATTAAAAAAGTAAATATGCAACAAAAAAATTGAATGGGTTTATGGACATAATAGATCATCCATATATTTACTATAAATATTTATTTTTAGAATTTAGATCATAGAAAAAAATTAGAGAAATAAATAAATATTTATAATCTAAAAATAAAAATTAAAAAAACAAATTAAAATTTTCACATGATAATTGAATAGATTGATGTATGGAATTATGGACCATGTTAGATTTGTCTTAGCTCTACAACATACTCAGCCTATAGGGTTAGATCACATAAAATTGAAGAAATTATTATATATATATATATATATTATTTTGAAAATTAAAAAAATCAATTATTTAGAATAAATTTCAATTGATTTGTGGGCATGGTAGATCATACATAAATCTACAACATAATCAATTTCTAGAGGTAGATCACAAGAAAAACAAAAAAAAAATCATTTTTTTAGATTTTTTACTATTATGAAATTTCTTCAAATATTCACAAAGATTTACATATAGCAGCAAAATAAGTGGAATTTTTTGCACAAGAATAGTAGAACAACATACATAAAGATGTTTTTAAGAATCCAAACTAAAAAAAACAAAAGCATTGGCTGAAAATGTAAAAAAAATTGAAAAAAACACACTTATTTTCACAACCTTGAACCTTGAAAAAGTTGTTGAATCTTGCAAGTTTATAGACATTTTGGCAGATTTTTGCAAGATTTGAGACTCTAGGAAGGTTAAGAAGCTTTCTGGAGGATTTAAAAGCCCACTTTCAAAACCACTTCTATTTGCGATTTCTACAACGATAAAATCATCGTGTATCAGCCGATATGCTACTGCATAACCGATACATAACCAAAACTCACTGATACAACATCGATATACCTTTGGCATGACGAAAAAAAATAAGGAATGGTACCATTGATTTGGGACCGTTCCCCGTATTGGCCAATACGGGCTGATAGTGACGAAATTTTGAACCCTTATTCATACAAACACCCTTTTCTTTTGTTTGGTTAATACACATATACACCCTGGTTCATTTTTACTGTTGTTCCCTGAGAATGCATTTATGTACAGAAAAAAAACAATTTTTACAAATTTCAAGGCACGCTCAACCCTTCATCTCTTTTTAAATGAGATCGGATCCGATCACAAAACAGGGGCCGAACAAACAAACGGTCCCAACAGTTATTTGCAGCCGTAAGTTATTAAAATCTCGCCATCAATAACAAGGGGATGAAAAGGTATCATACCTAAAAAGGTATAATCTAATTGCTGACCAATCCACTGTATTTTTCATTCAAATTCACGTGGTAGTTAAAGTTTTCCGGGTACCGTATCTTCTGATATCATAAAAAGCGCAGAACACTTAACATGTGCGGACGCTCCTACCAGCTGGGATATTATGACACTTCTCAATATAGAGAAAAAAAAAAGAAAAAAAGAAAGGGAAGGAAAAGAAACTTGTATATCTTTAGGATGTGGGTAGTGGGTAGCAGATCCGATCCGGACTCCTCTTCCTACTTCGATCGCAAAATCAGTAGTAATCACAAACCTATAAGCATAAGCGAGATGAAACTTGAAAGGCAAAGAGATAGCAATATATCGGGTTTGCCGTTGGTATCCCATCCTTACCAGATTCCCACCTTAAATCCGACTCATGCCACCCCGAGTGACCCGATCAAGGCGGTTGTAATTATCACCTAACATCTGGGGTTATTTTCGTAATCTTAAAGAATTCCAACATTTGAAATTCGAAAATGTTGCCGTTACCCAACGAGCAAGAAAGCCACCAACGGCTATAAGATTGAATTCCACCGTCTTTTAGATCATTGTTCTTCTGAGATTTTTTACCACACTGCGACAGGGAGAGAGAGAGAGAGAGAGAGAATCAAACAAAAAAACATACAAAGAATGGATCAAGGGTTCAGAGAAAACCAGAAATCTGCCATGGATGCATTCGAGAAGCTCGAAAAGGTCGGAGAAGGAACCTATGGGAAGGTTTACAGAGCAAGGGAGAAGGCTACAGGAAAGATCGTTGCCCTCAAGAAGACCCGTCTTCACGAGGATGACGAAGGAGTCCCGCCTACAACCCTCCGAGAGGTCTCCCTATTGAGAATGTTATCCAGGGATCCACATGTCGTAAGGTGATTCCTAATATCATAGGTTCCAATTGGACATGGATGACTGGTATTTCTATTTTCTTCTCTGTCTCACCTTTTAGGGTTTGGGTTTCTATCATGTTCTTGCGGTCGCATTTTTTGTCATATTAACTTATTTGGCTTCCATGGTTTTCTTTTTGTTCTTTAGTTGATTTTGTTTCTTCGTTAATGGTTTATTTGCTTAGGGTTGCAACCCGTTCTGTTTTCTTATTCTTTCTTTTCTTTTCCCCTTACCAGTCTGCTGGCCCTTTTCCTTTCTTGTTCTCCCTCAAGCTATTTTCAATCGATTTTTTTTTATTACCCATTTTCCTGTTCTGTTCATGCCTCATTATGTTTAATTTTTCCTATCGTTTTCGTGTTTCATATCCACTCTTTGTTTAATCGAAAATTCCAATTATCATCTTCCTTAAATGCATTCCTTCTTTTGATGGTTTTAATTAATGGTCACTTGCGATCCTACAGATTGCTTGATGTCAAACAAGGGCAAAACAAGGAGGGGAAGACCATTCTTTATCTGGTTTTTGAATACATGGACACCGATCTCAAGAAGTATATTCGGAGTTTCAGGCAAAATGGAGACCACATTCCTGCTAAAACCGTGAAGGTGATGACACTATCAAGCTTTGAATTTCCAACTGTTTTAAATAGTTGATTGTTGAAGGAACTTCTAATCGTTTATGTTTGATAATCAATGCAGAGCCTCATGTACCAACTGTGCAAGGGCGTTGCTTTTTGCCATGGCCACGGAGTGCTACATCGGTAAACCTTCTCCTCTACTCCTATCACTTGCGTATAATGTATGAACTTAATGACATTCTCCTACTCTTGGTATTTTTTAGGGATCTGAAGCCACACAATCTTCTGATGGATCGAAAGACAATGATGCTTAAAATAGCAGACCTTGGACTGGCTCGAGCATTTACTCTACCAGTCAAGAAATACACTCACGAGGCACGTATCTTTACTTGTCAATGTTTATTCCAAAAAAAATTCTCAGTTAACAAAAAAACCAATGCAATGGCTGTTGCAGATCTTGACACTCTGGTACAGAGCTCCCGAAGTGCTTCTGGGAGCTACCCATTACTCAACTCCAGTGGATATGTGGTCTGTGGGCTGTATATTTGGTACGATTGTCTTGCTCATGATGATATGTGGCCTTTTACTGAGATTCCAAAGTAAGCATTTTGTCTAACGAATGTATTTCTAAATCTTACCCAGCTGAACTGGTCACAAATCAGGCACTCTTTCCAGGAGACTCCGAGCTGCAACAGCTCCTTCATATTTTCAGGTCCATTGAGCTCTGTTTCGAATATTCATTCTAACATTAACAAGTCATCTTGCTGCTGCTCAATCACTTGACAAGTTTCATGTTGCAGACTACTGGGCACTCCGAATGAAGAAGTGTGGCCGGGAGTGAGCAAACTAATGAACTGGCACGAATATCCTCAATGGAGCCCCCAAAATCTGTCATCAGTTGTTCCCAATCTGGATATTGATGGGCTAGATCTTCTATCGGTAAGCTACTAGCATAGTTATGATGCTGAATTCCAAAGAAAACAGTGGCTAACAAAGAATAAATCGGAGTAGACAAAATTTTTCATTATCAAATGACGATTACATCTATGTTTATGTTTTTTGCAGAAGATGTTGCAGTACGAACCTTCCAAGCGGATCTCGGCAAAGAAAGCTTTGGAGCACCCCTACTTTGATGACCTGAACAAAGCGTACTTATAGTCTATCTCGTGGTTCTTTTTTTTTTCATGCTTTTCTCAAGCGTATCTGGTTAGGTTCGAAATTGCGTGTAATGGTTGATGATTGTTTTCAACCTATTCAAGTGGCCTGGTTTTGTTAATCAATTCAACAAAACTGAAAGTACCTTTTTTCGCTTTAGATGAATGTTCTTTTCTGTGACATGTTTTGCAAGTTCTATTCAAGCAGCAATTATCACCCGATCTGAGAGAGAGAGAGAGAGAGAGACCAATTCACTCACTCTTGGGCGGCTCTATCCAGCCATGCTTTTTCTATATTACCACTGTTGTGACATTCAATGTGGTTGGATTATAGCAGTCAACACTCTGGGCATTCGACCCAACCAATTTGAGAGCGCATGGCCCTATATCGAGCCATGAAAAAATGACCATTATAACAGTTGGAAAACAAAATCAGGCTACGAGCCACATGAATAAGGTTGACCACAATGTAAGGGAAATTGAAGCTAATGCATAAGTCCATAGCATGATGACAGAACATTCACTTTGACCTTCCCCAAATAATTGAGTCATCGTTCCTGCAAATTTAACAAAAAAATTCATGTCATCAGAGAAAATGGATAAACAGGGTTTTGATGGGGGCAGAGAAATCTCCATTTCCACCAATTTTTTTCTTGCAGAGAAACAAACCTCTTTAAGCCCACTCCTAGGGCAAAAGAAAGCTCTTTAAGCAATAAAGTGAATAAAAAAACGTTCAAGGCTCTGGGCAGAGAAATCTCCATTTCCACCAATTTTTTTCTTGCAGAGAAACAAACCTCTTTAAGCCCACTCCTAGGGCAAAAGAAAGCTCTTTAAGCAATAAAGTGAATAAAAAAACGTTCAAGGCTCATGGACCAAACATCCCCTAATTTAGGGGACGGTCATATATTGATTTTTATGGGACAACTCGAGCATGAATTAATTTGAAATTAATAGCTGATACAGCAAAAAGGCAGAATGGCCCATAATACTTCTGGGTTTTGAAAAGCATTAATCCAAACCCAGTATTTTTTATGAAACCTGGATACTCTGTCCTGCATCTCATAAATGTAACCAGCATGCAAGTAGTCCAAATGACCTTGAATCATATGAAATAAAAAATTTGACTCCGGCATTTTTTTTTGAACCAGTTAGAAATTACTTTCCAGGAAAGAAAAGCACTTTAATCCTAACTAGTTCAATGGTACTTGCTGTCAATTTGTTCTAAAAAATTGTCAAATATAAACAATTTATCCTAGTGCGCCATATATATGAGATATTCAACTTAATCGTGGTCAACTATCATTGTTATGTGTCAGATTATTTTTATCTATCACATTTAGTGTATATATTTCAACTAACCTACTTTTCAAAATTACCCCTCTCTTTATATTCCCATGCTTTCCTAGGGCTTTTGTTATCTAAGTATAAGCTGAAGTCAATTGGAGTCATGGAAGGACAATCCTTTTTTGGTGGGAATCATCAAAAGATGGATGCAGAGACATCTTGAACATGGGCCCAACCGAGCTTTTGCTCAAGTTGGGCCAAAAAGCTTGGGCCTGACCTAAACTCAGATTGGGCTTGGGTTGAGGCATTGAGTACATAAGTATAGGTAGATTTGTTGATGAAAGTTATACATATTTTCTCCATTCTACTCCTAAATTGGGCTATAAAGCCCAATAAAAAATGGGTGTACAAAAATATATTCGTAAATTCTTAAAGGCCCAACCAAGCCCAGCCAAACCCATCCTAAGCCTGAACTCAGCCCAAGTTGTGTTGGGTTAAGCTCGGGTTGTTCCTAGGTTGATAAACTCAGCCCAAGCCCAAAGTTTGCATCTTAGGGTTGGGTTAGGTTGAGGCTGGGCCTGGGTTGACGCTCAACCTGATCCAACCTACCCAAGTTGTACCCCTAGTAGCTATAGCTTGATAAATATGTGAAGTGGTGACAAAAAGATCTCATGCCAATATATCTTTTGCATCCTTAGGTTCATTGTAGCAGGGCTTCTATATTATCTCAACATTGGGAGTCATAAACTTAGTAATGATAGAAGTATTCACTTTGGAATACCTCCATTTGAGTCACCTGTGTTGGGATGGCAGTAAGGGACCCACCAAACTCAAGCTAAGTAAGTGATTGAAGCATCCAAGGTGCATGGAAAACCTCCAAACTTATTGTTGCTAAAGAAAAGAACAGACACGGGATAGCATTTATAACAGAAGGCAAAGAACAGACCAGGATAACATTTATAACAAGTACCAAATATTTGCAGTTTAAACAAGAAAAGACCACTTACCTATGTTCATTGCTGGTGGAAGTGCAAATTGAAGCAGAAGAATAAACTGATATAACGGATCTGAGTGCACCCAACCAAAATGGATCGCTCCTTTGACAATGACAATTCCCAATAGAGGCAGTGCAATATATCGAACTATGATGATCCCAAATATGATAGACAACTGAACTTCTGACTTTTGTAAACCTGAATAAGATCAATACGAAGAAAACATAGCTGAAAGATAACTTCTTGTATCATATAATTATATGTTGTGGTAACAGTAGCATGCACATGTTCTTTTTTGCTCTTTCCTTAATTTATGTGAGGCCTTTACATGCATATATAATAGTTGAAGTGCTGGTCAATGGTTGATTGATACCTAACCATTCTTCAAAATCTTTGTCTCCTAGAGATCGACGTGTAGCTTAAGATCAGTTTGGTTTTTTCTCTTATATCAAAGTTATGAGATCAAAGGGGCCTTTAAAGCACTAATTTCAATAAGCCCGAAGCCTGTTTATGGAGCAAAGAAGTTGTGATCAATCTTTCTTTTACTGGTGCATGAAACCCCTAAACAAGTGCATTGGATTTCCCAACAGCCCTGAGAGAGACGGGAGAAATAAACAAAGCAACATCATGTCACTTTGAGTATGCTGTTTAAATTAAACCTCTTCAGGTATGTCAAAAAGGAGGATGCAAGAACAATTTGAAGATGCTTTCTTTCTGCCACAGAGGATGGTATACCACCACCTTTGAGTGATCCTCTTTCTCCCACTTCTGATCTCACTGAGTCATCTATTACTACTTCTTGTGTTTCTCACCTGCTTGACCATTTTGGGTTTCTGTCTGTGCATAATGTTATTGCTGCTACACTTGATTCCATATATACCTTCTAGTCTTCTGCTTATTAGCAGGTTGCAACAATATTGTGTCGGAAATAGTTGTGTATATCAAAATTCAAACCCTCATCAGCAATGATACTTGGGAGATGGTTCCATCCCTCTTATAGGTAATGAATGGGTATTCTCAGTTAAATTGTAGTCAGATGGGAAGATAGACTGGTACAAAGATTGACTGGAGCACAAGATTATGTATTTGTACACGGCCATTTAAAAAAGACTGTCTACATGAAGCCTCATTGACAATTCCCTGGTCTACAAACTCAAGAAATCCCTTAGAAAAAGCTCGTAAGGCTTGGTTTGAGCTGTTCAGATAGGTCATTACTAGAGTTTGTTGTTCACGAAAAAAAAATACGACTTCTCCTTATTCATCTGTCAAAGGCTCTAGTACTACGATTTTTCTTCTGATGTTCTCCTATATTTCGATGGTGTCTTGATTACAAGATATGACACTAAGGGAATTCAGCATTTATAGCCAGTCACAATAAAATATCTCTTTCAAAATGAAAGATTCAAGACCTCTTGGAGGTGTACTATACTACTTGTGGGTCTTTTGGGAACCAGAGGAAGTATGCCATAGTTTTACATAAATTGGAAAATTTTACCAATGAGAAACATGCTCAGTTGCTCACACACCTATGCAGCTGAATCTAAGGATGATGGTGAGCTCTTGGTAGATTCTACATTCTATCTCATCTTTTTGAGTCTCATCTACCTTACAATTCTACACTCCATCTCTGTTTGTGTCTCCCTCACATCAATCAGACCTCATGTAGTTACAAGCCAGTGTTATTTTTCCCTTTATCATCATCTTTTCATCTTAAAAGCCTATTCTCTTATGTTGATACTGATAGAGTTAGTTGCCCTGATGCACTTCACTCCCCACAGGCTTGTGTATCTTCTTTTGTTAATTTCTTGGAAGCGTAAGAAGCATCCTACGGTGTCTAATCTTCCTACAAGCTGAATGTAGAGCAATGTCCTCAGCCCTGGAATGAAATTGTTTGGTTTAAAGGGTTGTTTCCTGAACTGAACATTACACTACCCACAGGATTGTGTATCTTCTTTCGTTAATTTCTTGGAAGTGCAGGAAGCAGCCTATGGTGTCTAATCTTCCTACAAGCTGAATATAGAGCAATGTCCTCATCCCTGGAATGAAATTGTTTGCTTTAAAGGGTTGTTTCCTGAACTGAACATTACACTTACTTTCTCAACTCCGCTATATGCTAAAAAATTAGCAATATTAAGATTGCCTCCAACCCAATCTTTGATGAGAGCACCAAACACGTTGTAAGTGGATTGCCACTTCATGCATGATCAGTATCATGTTAGGATTATTTCTCCCCTTTACATAACTATAAATTTCAAGATTATAGATGCCTTTACTAAACCTGTGACTTTCTCACATCATAAATCTCTCATTAGCAAACTGATAGTGACCAACATCAGTTTGAGGAGTGTGAAGAAAACACAGCTGAAGGATAGTATCACAGTAGCATGTATATATGTGTAATTGCTATTCTATTTAACTCATTTCTTAATTATTTTTTAGCCCCACTCAGGGGCATCTTAGCAATTGGTCTGACCTAGCAACCATCCAGTTAACACAGGTCACATGAGGAATATATGAAAGCAACGAACATCAAAGAATAATTACCCTTAAGAAGATTTGCTCCCATTACCAGGCTGACACTTGGGATGGCTCCGTCACTGTAAATCATGTGGAGAACAGAAAGAACTGTAAGCAAGCATTCAATGTCAAGAATTTACATGACATAACATAAAACTTTTGTGTGTGAACACGGAAGAGAAGATCATTCTTAGAGGTTTGATACTTCAAGGTTGTTCCTTGAGATGCTTCCATGAAGTTCACCTTTAGCAAGACTAAATCCATAAGTCTGATAAATTTTATAGCACTGTTTAGGGCACAGTCATTTGGGGGTTGCTCACACAGATCTATCATGTATAAGATAGGGCATGGGTATATATGTTATTCATATGTATTTTATACACACACACACACACACACACACCATATATATATATATATGTTATTTTATGCTATGTTTTATATTATATATAAATATTATAATATGGCACCTATAATACATATTATATAATATTATAATATGGGAATATATTATATAATGTATAAAATAAATTTTATACACATGGATGTGAAGTTTAATTGGGTAAAAAGAACTGCAAATGGGTTTGCTGATGTATTAGCAAAGCAAGGAGTGGGAAGGAGTCATATGTTTTGGGCTCAGTTGCAATAGCTAATTTATAATATGAAGAGTTAAGAAAGTTTACCTCTCCTGCTCTTGTAATTGTTCTGTTTTAATTTAATGAAATTCCGTTATTGATAAAAAAAATTTATACACATATTATATGATATATAATTTAAAATGTTATATACATGTAATATTTTACACATTAAAACCTTAGGCGCAGAATCAGGCCGGGGCTTATGTTCCAGGCCTGGAACCTGGGCCAGGCCCAAGCTATATTAGAGCTGAAACATGGGGGTAGATCTTATGTCATAAATGTCTGGAAATATAAATATATTAGAGCTGAAACATGAAATACTAAAGCAAGAACAAATCATTGCATGGACATAAAAGAGTGTGATGGTAATCCTTGTACCTCAGCAAAGAAGCAGAGTCTCCAATTACATGAAGAGGTGCTGTCTCACCAATCATAGCCCTTCGAATTTGGGGGATAATTCCAACAACAAACCCGACAACCTACCATATATATAAAAACTAGTTTACATTAAAAGGTATCTCCTAAATTTTAGTGAATATTAGTCAAGGTTGGACAACAAAAGTCCAGTGAAGGTCGCACACATGGAAAGAAACCACATACAAAGTGAAAAATATAAAGGGGTACAGGAACTCAGGGAGTAGATGGTTCACTCTAGAAGTTTAATTGTAGATCTACTTGAAAAATTACAAAAGGAATATACATCCACAAGTAGGGATGTCAATGGGCTTTGAAAGTCTGATACCTGGTTCAACATCTGATCTAATTATTATCACAGATTTGAATGTTACAACTTGCATCCAGTTAATAACTGGATTGGATGCAGATTTAACCCCAGTCGATCCGATTAAAATCCAAGTTCAATTAAAAATTATTATATATCTATGTAGTATAGTTGTGTATATAGATATTATACACAATTATATAGAGCTTAAGACTAATAAATTTAATAGTTTATATTTATACACACTTATTATACATTATAATTTAAAAGTACTTGGTTTTTTAAAACTTTCTATTTTTTCCATATTAAGAACAATATGATTAGTGAAGATTAAATCTGGTATGATTTCGACATATTGGATTTCGGATCCACAGATTTGATAATCATATAGGATGTGGATGTAGCTGGATCCAATCCAATTATAGTCCTATCCACAATAACATTTCTTTCAAATATTATCTAAGATTTAGTGTCTTGCAGCACTGGGGTACAACCATTTATCAGTGTCTGTTCCCATCATGTTGTTTTATGGTCTAGCTGAGCTAGACCACATGATTTATGCGGTACATTGGTATACTCCAAAGTAGTTGAAAATCACAATTCAGTGGATCCAGACCCTTTTCTTCTTAACCAGAATTGAAGTCAAACAGGATGCCTGGTGGTTCATGAAAATAGAAAATGGTTAAAATCGTTTAAAAAAGAAAAAAAGACCTGGAATGTTTCTCATGGTTCAATGACTTGGATGACCCAGTTTTTAAACATTGATAGGACCCCACTATTTGATAGTTACTCTTAGAGCACATCATAGAGAGAGCCACTCAGATCAGATGATCATTTTGAGAAAGGTTAACAGATTTTATTAAGAGTTAACTGAGATAAGTTAACAGAGTACAAGGCCTTGGAAGGCAGGAACAGAATTACACAGGCAGAAAAACATCAGAGAACATATTAGCTCTATGGGCTCCAGATTTGGCTAAGCTGTCAGCTACAGTGTTTAATTCCCTAGGAATCCAAACCAGCTTCACATTCAGGGTATTTAGAATATCTCCGGCTTCAATCAACAGATGAGCAAGCCTCCAAGGACCTCCAGTCCTCTGCCTTAACCAGTTTATTGTATTAGGTGAATCACCCTCAATTGATAAAGAGATCAGATGATCATGGCCATTTGACCAATAGACCCATTTCCAATCCTTTTGCAGTTTCTTCTAATTCTACTTATAACTGGCACCCAGGAAAAAGGGATACAACTGCAGGTACAATGACCTGATTGAGACTGTTTTTGAACAATAATATCTACTTCTTTAGTAAGTTATGTGTATCTTCCTCCTCCTCCCTGTTTCTATGTTTGTGGTAGAAGAAGATAGACAAAGTACATTCTTTTAAACATAGAATCTATGTAACAAGGGATACTCTGTTATCTAAAAATTAGTGTAGAAAAGTGAGATATGCAATCTATATTTTTTAAAGGCAAAGTAATGAGACATGTCATCACCTTTGTTGCATGGTTAACATCAAAATCTGTTTAACCAAAAAACAAAAAGAATGAGTTTCAGAAAATAATAAGCATACCGCTCCAGCAGTTGAAGGTGCGAACAATGCCTTCAGGCTGATCTTTCCACAAAGATTCTTTAAATGTTTTTTAATCTTAACAGAAATTGGCACCTGTCATGAAACCTAGGAAATTGTCAAATATTTACTCTCTCAAATTACTTATCAATTGAGAGCAGAAAGGAAACATCAAGTTGTGAACATATTATAGAAAGCTTGCAAATTAATACAAATAAAATATTGCAGTTAGTCCCTACAGTATGCATTTAATAATCCATGGAAGTTATGATGCAGATACAGAAAACACAGAAAAAGCTTGGGTGAGCAAGTAGGCATACCCTAGTGATAGTTCTAATTATTTAAAAAAGTTCCTTTATCTTAGCCACATTTGCCTCAAGAATAGAAGATGGCAAGAAGAGCATATCAGGCCCAAATTCCCATGTTCCTAAAGTGGGTAGGAGTGGGGAAGAGAGAGGCACATGAGGCATCAAGGTAATTGAGTTTGGACATGGGTGGGCTTTACAATTTCAACTAACCTTCAAAAGTGTAATTCCAATCACATTCTCAAGTTTCAAAAAGGAGTAGAATATGGGAAATACAACTGGTGCTTCACCTTAAAAATAGTAAGGTGTGTTCCCCTAATATAGTAACATATAAGCAAACATCTGCTTTAAGGGCTCACTTGTCCTATTATTCACATGTGAAAGCGCCACAGTTGTAATTGAATGTAAGTAAATTGATCACAATGGAATGGAAAGTTTAGTTTCAGAGCTTTTTGTGGTACTATACTCCTTATTCTAATCTATGTTCTAATTTCTGTTCATACTTCAAATATCTTTTCTTCTACCTATTCTCATGTTCAGAGTCAAGTATTCCTCTATTTAGTGAAGCAGAACAATGATCAACATTTCACAACATAGGAACAAATTTCAAGAAGATGTAAGATACCAAAGGACAGAAGATATAAAAGTAATGCATGGAACAACCTCTGTGTTTCTTTCATATGTGGTGAAGTGCAGGGAAAATTGATCTTCATAGTTGTCAGAGATCAAATAGTCTTTTGAAGGAAGTAGTGCTTCTGTGGAACTTCCCACGGGAATCTTTGAGGATTCTTGAGGGAACTCTGAAGTAATTATGGATTCATTTACTTCAACACCTCTTGAGCTCCTTGAATATATCCGCACAATATTGAAGACATAAGACCATAAGTAAACAGCCCCTATCTGAGGAAAAACAATCAGGAGCAAAAGACACTCTAAGGTCAGTTTCCCATGTTCAAGCACAATATGGCACATTTAGAGTGTTGAAGAGAAACACTTCAGTGGGTACAAAATGTCTGGTTCAATAGTTCAACAATTGCCCATACATCGGAAAACAGGATTTTATATATAAATGGTATACTTGTTTTATTATGAGCATTAAGATGTAAGGAAAGATTTAAAGTTTTTCCATCAATAAACACCACAAGCATTACCAAATATGAGAAAACTAGTCAACAAAGTAATCAGTGAGGAAAAACTAAATGGTAGACACCTAAACTTTTGTTTGGTTAGTAAAACTAAATAAGAGAAGTTAGGAAGATGTAATAATTACTAAAACCGGAAAAACATCTTGCACATTATTCTAGCAGTAAGGCATCATATTACCTATATTTTATTGATTTTGATTCTTAACTGTTAGTGTCATTTCTCCAAATAATTGTTACTATGTCGATATGTCCTGAGTATGAGACATGCCTTTTAAACTTTATAAACTCATTTTACATGTTATCAAATTGGACCTCTCAAAATTTCCATGTCTGAAAAAGATGTATTTGTGCGCTAGTTGAACAGAATATGTATATTCTTTTTAGCAAAATTAGTATATTAACTTAAGAAATAGACATTTTGAACAGAAAAGAGTGAGAGTGGCCAGCTAGATAAACGAGTCACACCTGATCAACATTGACATATAACACATAATGAAAGTGATGTGTTTCCAAGAAATCATGCATTAATCCACTTTGCTTTACTATTCAATTATCAGTATATATATATATATTTCGACAAGCTATTTCAGAGAGTTTTACCGCCATAGAAAGTGAAGAATAGGCCATGCCATATTTATAGCAAACATCATTTGCTCCAAATGGACTGCCTTTCTCTCTACAGACTGCTGGAATGATGATAAGAAGCATATTTCCCAAATTCCCTGTCCACATCAACCCAAATAAAAATGCATGAGAATTGAGATGGTACATGATGCAATTGACTTTGCTTCAGGACTATGTGCCTTTTCAGTAGTGCAGCAGTACATGTCATTTATGCAATTCGTACACAATTCACTGATCCATATGAAAGACATTGTACAAGGGTAAAGAAACTTTCACCTGTTGGGAAGACATTATTTGTAGCCAATCTACATGATATTGTTTACAAATTATGAGGATATACTAAGCAATATACAAGAAATTACCTGCAGAACAACAACCCAGGATAAGGCCTCTTAAATTTGAAGGAGCCTTTGTGATTTGTATAACCATCCATCCCAATGCTGAACCAATGATAAATGTGAGAAGAATATTGAATGGCATGAACCACCTAAACATATAACCAAAATTTACTCAGAATACCAAGAAAATAAATGGCAAAGCAACTACAAGTCAATACAATATAATTTGTATGAACTGAAGTAGTAATCAGGAATAAAAATACTTTGTAATTTGTGCAAACTCAAATAGTAATCAGGATCAAAGATACTCACAACATAACCATGCTTTCAAATGTTATTGTTCTAGCTAGGTTGATAGCCACAAGTGCTGGATTGAACACAAAGAAAACAACCTGTTCGTGAGTAAAAATTTTCTTGTTAGTTTTAAAGAAGGAATGAAGAGGAACTCCATAGTAGAACTGGAAATAATGGCACGTGAATGTCTTCCCATGTGACACCTAAAATCTCAGACTAACATGCAACCACACATCCAAGAAGCCTGGATTAATTCCCCAAGCACTAAATAACAAAGTGCTATTGTCCTCTCCATAACATTTTAAGTTTAAACCAATGAAGACAAATTATAGGTATAAGATGAAGGCAACTAAAAACAACTTACACGATTTAAATGCTTCCTTGCATCTTCCCCCAAAATATCTATGCGATCTATTGCAAGAAAAGATCCTACACCAGTCACTATAAGAACTTTGAGGACTGGTATTGTTGCAACAACAAAAAGATCCAGGAGCTCCATATTTTGATTCTTTAAAGTACTCGTCCCCTCCTATACAGAGAGAAAACTAAAAAACTTCAATATAAGCTTTCTGCACAAAATATGCTTTTTATCATTATGTTAACACACATTCGAAAATGCAAGAGAAGAACAAAGGGATGGCAGTTGGCGGACTCCAAATAGTTGGGATTAAGGCTGAGATGAGTTTAGGAGAAGAGAAGGGGATACCAAGGCACTGCTCTAATTTGAAGGCATTTTGAATTGAAATTAAGTAAGACACTCAACTTACTCGAGAAAACCCGGTAATTTTAGGAGGAGAGAAGGAGAGATTTATGCTCAGTGAAACAAAAGGTGTTTGCCACTAGAGATAGAATCAAATCTCGAGGTTAAGAACTATAGCAGTATTCCACTATTCCTTGCTCCCCTGAGCATTGAACTTCCAAACAACCTCGACCTACCTACAATCTTGACTGAAGAAACGCAATCGCATCATTAACATAGTCCCAAAAAAATAAAAAAATAAAAAAAATACAATAAAATGGTTATATTTAAAAAATGGAAACAGGGGCTACCCTTAAGTTGAACGGTTTACATTTTCTTTTCTATTTCTTTATCTTCTTTTTTTCCTTTTCCATTACAGGTTCCTGAAAGAAAAATATTAAGACTGTTGCGGAAGAAGGATTGGAAAATATTGATCATACCAGAAACTTAGTACAAAGATTTACCACAGAAGAAAATTAAGAAAAAAAAAAAACATTTCCAGTAAGGCAGTGAGGTTTATTTTCATGTAAGAATTCAAAGAAGTAATATGAAGTTTTCAGCACATCAAACAGGAATTCCGCAAAAGATATCTGCTTAAAACTTGCTTAGAAAGAGAAACTCACCAGTCTTAACAGAATATGGAAAGCAAAACTCGAAGAAACAAAAGCTCTCTTCCTTGTCTCTTTGCCGTCTTTCTATATTTCTGCATTAAGAAGAATAATAAAAAAACAAGGCAACTAGAAACCCGATGCAAAACTTCAAGTGTGAACTCAAAATGAAGAAATAGATATCTACATCGATCAAGTACCAGCTAGACGTAATTTGCAGACTGAACAGAACGAAAGAGAGGAATAAAAAATTGTCCACCATAAAGATAAATTATACTATAATATTCTAGGACGAGCTGAAGCAACTGGGCCTCTAGGAATGAAAGTAAAATTATAAACTCAGAGTGGGTCATGGGTGAGACAAAATTTACATGAAACCGATATTGAAATCCCTACCACGTCGGTGTTATTATCATCTCTGTATTTTCATCATCTCATCTCGGAAGAAAATTAAGAGAGAGAGAGAGAGAGAGAGTGAGGAAGCATTGTATTGAGGAAGGAAAAGCAGAGTAGTTGCGGGTAAGATCATCCAACCAACCAGTCAACAAGACGGTGAGGCAGGCAGGTGCGGGTGCGAGGAGGGCAGCTTGAGTGCGAAGGTTCGCGCCTTGCGCGGTATACTGAGTAACGACAGGGGACTACTATTGCATTGTCCGTCCGTCCGCCGTGGTTTATTCTAAACGGTTATCAACATCATTAACTAAAAAGCCGGTGCACATGTCACGGTGGGTCCCTTGTTTTGATAGCATGCAGCCACCTGGGGAGTGGGGACCGATTCCATGGTTTTTTCTGTATCAACTATATATATATACATACATATTTGTTACACATTTCATTGGATTAACTGAATCCTCCTATTATACTATTATGCATGTGGGAACTGGGGACTGCCCGACCGGCGACCGGCGACTGGAGGGTGGAGGGTGGGGGCAGGATAAGATGCACGTGACATCCACCTTCCTTATAGCTTAGCCTAGCCCTTGCCCCTTGGGTACTTACTGATTACTACTTACTACAGCTTAGCCTAGCACGGAGAGCCTCTGCCTCTTGCCTCTGTCCACACACTTAGAAACTAAAAACTTTTGACTCACCAAAAACACATGCAGACACACACTGTGTAGGAAGATTACTAGAAGAATAAGAGTTTAAAAGCTGGTATGATTACTTAATTTTCTTTCTTTTTTTTTTGGGTCATGGGCGGTAAAACTCGAAAGGCTTAGGAAAAAATAAACCACATAATAATGAGCTGTCGGAGCCCATGAAACGGATGAAAGCCTAGGCCTAGGCAAGTTTTTATACGGCAAGCATTCTTGCAATTTGTATGGTCATCGTGGGTCCCACTGTGAGAAGCTGGAGGATGGAGCTTCAGGGTTTCTTTCCTTTTCAGACCGGGGAATTTCAAACAGAGTTTTCTTTGAATCGATGGAGTTCGGGATGAGAGATTGAAAGACAATAAAGAGATTTAAGGGAGGTTTTTTTTTTCGAGTTTTAAATAAGGTTATTTTTGTAAAATTGTATGTTTTAAATAAGGTTTTTTGTCGAGTTTTTAAATAAGGTTATTTTTGTAAAATTGTATATTCTAAATAAGTTTTTTTTTTGTAAAATTGTATATTCTAAATAAAGTTTTTTATCGAATTTGAAATCGAGTTTTAAATAATGGGTATTTGGGAAAAAAAAAAAAAAACTAATGCATTAACCAAACGTTTTTCGTCTGGATCAATGATGAAAGAGAGGTTTTTGTCAAATTTTTAAAAAATTCAGAGGAGATATTTATTAAAATAAAACTAAAAAAATATATTTTTATTATTATCAGAAACTTTAGAGATTTTTTTTTATTCAATAAATTAAAGGGATTTTTATGATTCAATCCGTGGAATTAGGAATTTTCCTTGGTGGATTGAATACTAAATTTATAGGCATTCGCAGTCCAACAATCCCTAAATAAAAATCGCCTGGTCCCGTAACACGGGACAGTACTCAAAACCCCATGAAAGGAGGGTCGCTTCTCCTGGACGCAAGTAAAAGCAGATTTGCAAACTCATAATGATTTATGAAGAGCCATCATTCAAACATGTTGAATTTGGATTTATTACATTCAATTCAATTGTACGTTTCTGGATGTCATTTAGAATTCATGTTGAAAATTCCTGAATGGTCCTAAAATATTCATTCAGGCTGCGTTTGGATTCGGTATAAATACAAAATTATACCAATGTAAATTAAAAACGGTCAGATATATCAGCGCAAAAAATGTTTATTTTTAAACTATTGTATGTTTAAAAGATAAGTGTACGTAAATCATGAAAATATTTTCTAGGTGTGTTTGAAAAGTTTCCACCTTTCAGTTTTGAATTTGGCATCAAATTCGTAACGACCGAATAGAGAAGAAGGAAGAAAAAAAAAATACAAAACAAATAGGTTTTTCTGGTTCTTTGAGTTTTGTGAAGAAGAAGAAAAAGCTAGCTCTTGTTTCATTCAAGATCAATTTCGGAGGTGCCTTTCAAGTCTGTTATTGATGATATTAAGTGTTGGAGTTAAGAATCTCATTCCAATTCAAATTTGGTGATTCTTCTTCATTTTCTCTATTTTTCAGTTCAAATTTATAGCAACTTGGTGAGATCTGAACTTATGTTTGTGTTGTATCCACCTTGCATTTGGTGATGTTAATGCTGTTCTTGTGAGCCAAGGATTATTTCCTTGATGTTTGTAAGCCTCTAGTTGCAATTAGAGAAGACTATTGTACCCATTAATTTTTGAATTAATGGAAGACTTTTACGGACCATAGGTCCCGTGGTTTTTTCCCGATTTTTTGGTTTTTCACGTAAAAATTCTGGTATGTTATTGTGTGGTGATTGTTATTTGTTTTTCTGTTACTTGGCTGAATTGTTTACTTGTTATTATTGTTGTTGGCAAACCCATTTTGATATACAAATTTGGGGGAAAGGTTCTTACTGTCCTGTGATTGATTTTACATTCATTTATGCTACTATAGTGTAACTTGCCCAATAGTGGTATCAGAGCCAGATTGGCTGAAATTAATTGTTTGTGTTGATACAAATGGAGGAATCCTCGGGTGTTATGATAAAATTGACTTCATCGAATTATGCCATTTGGAAACCCATAATGGAGGACATTCTTTATTGCAATGATTTGTACCTACCCATAAGAGGTGATGAAGTAAAGCCAAGTGACAAGTCAAGTGATGAATGGGGAATCATGCATAGAAAATCTATAGGCCAAATCCGACAGTGGATCGACCACAGTATTTTTCACCATGTTGCACAAAAAACTAGGGCTGATGTTTTATTGAAAAAATTAGAGTCTATGTATGAAAGGAAAACAGATTTAAACAAGGCTGCCTTGATTAGAAAATTAGCACACTTGAGATATAAAGATGGGACTAATATGTTTGAACATTTGAGTGAAGAAAGCTTTGATAAATCAATTGACTACTATGAAATTGAATCTGGATGATGAAGTGTAGGCTTTATTGTTACTTAGTTCTTTGCCTGACAGTTGGGAAACCTTTGTGGTTTCAGTCAGTAATTCAGCCCCTAATGGTATAGTAACCATTGACACAGTCAAAGATGCTTTGTTGAATGAAGAGTCTATGAGGAAAGAACAAGGGACTTACTCAGAATCTCAAACTCTTATAACAGAAAAGAAAGAAAGACAGGGAATAAGTAAGAGCAGAGGTCCCCGTAACAAATATGATAAAACCAGATGAAGGTCCAGGTCCAAGAAAAATATCATTTGTCATCACTGTAATAAACTGGGACATTACAAAAATGAATGTAGAGTCTGGAAAAAAAAAACAAACCAAAGGGAAAGGTGAAGGCAAGAAAGAAGAAAAAGATACTACAGTTGTTGCAGCCGAGGATGATGTTTTTATTGTTTGTGATGATAATTATGTCAACTTTGCACGCCCAAACAGTGATTGGGTCATAGATTCGGGTGCTTCTTTTCATGTTATTCCCCGTGGTGAATTATTCACAACTTACACTACAGGTGATCTTGGACATGTTCGTATGGGAAATGCTGGTATATCCAAAATTGTTGGTATGGGAGACATTTGTCTAAATAGCAATACTGGTTGCAAATTAATTTTGAAAAATGTTAGGCATATTCCTGATATCCACCTACATCTGATTTCCACTAGCAGGTTAGATGATGAAGGTTATGCAAATATCTTCAATGATGAAAAATAGAAGTTCAGTTGGGGCTCACTCACTTTGAATGTGAAATAAGTGAATCACAATTCTAAGGATAGAGTTTCTGTTATATCCCCGTACGTGTTATGATAGTTTGAAAGGACATGCCATGCATAATGCATTATATATGATTTTGTACGATGGTTGTTGATGATGCACAATCCGGCCGATCTTAGCTGTCAACGATCTTGCCTCTGAACCGAGTGGCAGGGACCTGAAACGGAGGGAGAGAAGAAGCTCCGGGGAGAACCCGGCGTAAGGGCTCCAAAGCTCAAGTTAGAGTCTTTCAAAGGCAAGATAGACCAGATAGCGCAAAGTTACCATACCTCGTTCTTGGGGGGGTAGGAGCCTTTTATAACCACCTCGCGCACTCACTTCCAGGCTTCCGTCAGATCGGGCATGATTATTTCTGAGTTCCTACCAGTTCGGATGTCATTTCCTCTGGCCGGATAGAACCGCCACTGCTCATTTTGTCGGAGCCGTCTCTGCGGCTAGTAACGACGGTGGCAAGTGGCGGTAGCAGGAGGCCGTTTGAAGTGCGGCTGTCAGGCGTCAGATCCCAAATCAGTCAGGTGCGTCGCCCTTGGATACGGACGTCCTTGGTGTCAGGTACGTTTGGTCAGCCTGGTGTTTCAGAAGCGAAGT